AGAAGACAGATGGCAAGAACTACACAACTCTCCCATTTAAAAATCAAATTGTATTTACTAGCATTTTAGAATGCCGGAAGTCAAGTAGAAGACTATTCCAGGCAATACTTTTGTAGGCTGCAAATACCTTGCATTTCCTCTTTCATACAGCACATCTTGCTACACAGCGGGAAGAAGAGGACATCACAAAGGATTAAACAGAGTGACATTAAGAAAGCAAATCTGAACAGCTCAGAGGTTACAGAGTTTCTCAATTAGCTGCCTTTCTACAACATTTTAAAGCCCTGCACGCCCACTATACAAGCCACTTATTTTATGGCCCCAGCTTTCAAAGTACTACTTAACAAAATTGCTGGAGAAAGTTACAGGCAAGCCATAAACCATTCCCGACAGGTCAGTCTGGAAACAAGAGCAATACGAAACTGCCTGCTTTTGCCTTGTTGCCTAAAATAATATACTAAGAAGTTTACTAAGGATCCTGACTCTTGTACATACCAAAATCAGCAGGCCTACAAGGTCACCTTCAAGTTCAAACTTCACTGCTGAACAGGCAGATTACATCACTCAATTCTAAATCACAGGTTGCCAATACAATCGTGTTATTTGCCCAAATCCACCTGGCTTTTTAAAACTGCAATACAGTAAGTTCAAGCTTGAAAGAGCCCAATTTTCCACTGATGGTTTCCCAAGACAACTTTAGTTTCCCCAGTACAAGAATTTGAAAACTTTAAAGAAAATATACTGATCTAACGTAGATCCATGGCACTTAAAGTTTTAGGCACAAAGGTAAACAGTTACGGAAAAAGTCATATACGCTGAACTTGTTCTCTCAAATAAGCCAGTGCACCTATATTAACTTCATTTTTTAATCAGACTTCACTACTGGTACCATTACCCTAACAATTTGGAAATAATTTTCAGAACCCTGGACATAAAGGGCATGTATAAAATGTCATAATACTCTATTAAATCTTGTTTATATTTGCTTCTTGAATGAAAATCAGTAAAATGAGTACTTATTAAGCTGGTTAGGTTGGGAGTATTGTTTTATGCTTTTAGATTTTAAGAGCTATGTATAACCAAACAAATATTCAGTAAAAACTCCATACTTTTTCAGTCTCATGTCTGACATTGAAGCTTGAGAGCATAAAGCGTAGCATTTCTGAGAAGGGTGTTTCTGGCAACAAAAAATATACAGTTTTAATAGTCAAAAGACCAACTATGAGTCATTGTTATGAATCACAGAATATTAGGAGTTGGAAGGAACCTTGAAAGATCATCCAGTCCAACCCCCCCTGCCAGAGCAGGATCACCTAGACCAGGTTGCACGGGATCATGTCCAGGCGGGTCTTGAATGTCTCCAGAGGAGACTCCACAACCTCTCTGGGCAGCCTGTTCCAATGCTCTGTAACCCTTACAGTAAAAAAGTTTGTCCTCATGTTCAGACTGAAACTCCTATGCTTCAGCTTGCTCCCATTTCCCCTTGTCCTGTCATTGGACATCACTGAGAAGAGCCTGGCTCCTTCCTCCTGACACTCGCCCTTTACAAATTTATAAACATTAATGAGGTCACCCCTCAGTCTCCTCTTCTCCAAGCTAAAGAGACCCAGCTCCCTTAGCTGCTCCTCAGAAGGGAGATGCTCCACTCCCTCAATCATCTTTGTGGCTCTGCGCTGGACTCTGTCAAGCAATTCCCTGTCCTTCTTGAACTGAGGGGCCCAGAACTGAACACAATATACCAGATGCGGTCTCACCAGGGCAGAGCAGAGGGGAAGGAGAACCTCTCTCGACTTACTAACCACACCCCTTCTGATACACCCCAGGATACCATTGGCCGTCTTGGACATGAGGACACATTGCTGGCTCACGGTCATCCTGCTGTCCACCAACACCCCCAGGTCCTTTTCTGCCTGTCAGCTTTCCAGCCACTCGTCCCCAAGCCTGCAGCGCTGCATGAGGTTATTGCGTCCCAAGTGCAGGACCAGGCACTTGGCCTTATTGAAGCTCATACAGTTGGCCTCAACCCATTGATTCAGCCTATCCAGGTCCTTCACAGAGAGATGAAGGAATAAGAGGGGTGAAAGAAAAAAAAATTAGAATACAGAAACAAGAGGGGCTGAGAATTGCTCAGTGTCATTGGTGCAAGGAAATTTGAATTTGACACCCAGAAGGAGAAAGAGAAAATAGAAGGGTTCAAAGAACTGGGAATGATAATGAGATGTTAGAAAAGATGATTGACTACTGCCCTCAACCCTAAAGTGTCACTACTGAATTTTTCCCTTCTCCTCACCCACTATTCTTCCACTTACACATAGAAATAATTTTCCTTCGTGACCTTTGAACCCAGTGCCTTTTCTGCTGTGTCTTCCTACAATCCTCAGGAGCAGGCTCCTACTTCACTGTGGTGAAACTTGGGCTACAAAGCTCTGCCCTTTGACCCTCGGCTGGGGCAGAAAACCAGCAGCTGCTCCTCCTTCCTCCAGTTGACACATTTCACAAGTGGCTTCCACTGAGAGCAAGGAGGAAAATGGCTTGTTATTTCTCCTCCATTCTTCTTCAGCCCTGTCAGGACAGCAGGTTGACCAAGGAAAGAGGAGACCCGATTTCATGTCAAAAAACCATGTATTTGATCCCATGTGCTTCTTTAGTGGAGATCAAGCCAGTAGATCAAGCATAGGGTTGGAAAAGGGACTCTCAGTGTGATGACATCCCCCAAGTGCAAAGGCAAACAGTGTTATGTGTTGTGCACTCCACTCCTAAACACAATCTGTTACTATATTTTACTGTATTTTACTGCATTACTGCCATTAATACCACAGCTGTGGGCTCAGAACAGGATTATGCCAGTATCCTACCATTTTATGGATTCCTGATCGACTAGCACACTAACTGAGCCTGAAGGACTCACTTATGACAGACAGTTCCTCTTCATTAGTGTTTGGCTTTGTGAAAGTAGTACTCCACAACCACACACAAACACTGGTTCATTACAGCTTGACAACAGTGAAGCAAACCTGAGAAGAGGACATATGACAGCATATATACTGTGATTGTTTTAGCTGCACATCTGTGTATGGCCACAGATGAGCTTCACTGTACCTATAAACAAGCTGTATCACATAAAAACTGTGCTTTTTACTACAACACTTCAAAGCCTAGACTGTAGACCAGCATCTGCTAAACTGCTTGCTGCCAGGACTTCACTCCACAATCCAAAATCAAATGTTTTAGATAGGAGGACATTTGGACACTCACCCTTTAGCCAAACCATTTTGATCATTTATAAGAGTCCAGTCTTCAGACATGTTGGTTAAAAATCTGCTTTGTGGGCCATGCCCATGAGAAAGAAAGATTTTTCATGAGGATCTGATATCAGATGATGGAAAGGCATGGATAGTGAGCCTAGCCATCATGTAGCTCTCAAGCTAAAGAACAGGAAATAACCAAATTGAACAACATCCAGAAATAAATTACAGGTAGTAAGTGAATAACTACTGATACTCCATGCCAAAGTCAGTCAAATTATGATTGCTGAACTATGCCTGCATGCTTTAACGGGTACACATGTTAACAAGCACTGTACTTTTATAGTTCCTGACACTAAAAATAAATGCATCATTTATTAACACAGCTAAAAATATTAACCACCTAAAAAGTGTGGTTCAGTAAACTAAATCAACCCATCGGCAACAAGTAATAAAAGTTTCCGAAACTTTTGTCTAAACAAGGCATTTTAAATGTACATTTACATGTATTTTTTATTAAATGCAAGAAAGCATTAGGAGGAAGGTGACAAGTAGCCTGTGTAGTAGCTTTCTTGGCATCTGTTTACATTACTCTGCAAGACAATACAATTTCTCAACACAAATGCAGTTAGCATCATCATCACAACTCTGCACAGCTGTCACATCGCAAGTCTTTTCAGACCAAGACCTTCAGTAGCAATTGTGAGTGTTTAGCAGACTGGAATTTTGTTAGGAGAAGTGAAATCACAGCAGATCGAGGAAACCCACACTTCAGCCAATCCTGAAAATGTGAAGCGTGCACAATTTCCCACACCGCTGGGCTAACCTGTGATAGCGCTGGGCTGCTGACATGACCTTAATGCCAGCTTGTTCGAGTCTTCTTAACTTTCTGATCTCTTCTGCATCTTTCTCTTTGGGTGCTGATGTTTCTTTTGCACTACCTGAAGGAGACTGGTCTATGGAATTTCCTTCATTTTGATTCAAACCTACTTGATTTTTAAGGGAGCTTGCCTCAGCAGCCACGGAGCCCACCTTCTCCTTTTCACACAGTCCAGATGTTTCATTCTGTTCTTCTTCTATGGTTTCAGGGTGGGGTTTGCTATTGAATTATACGAGGTAGTTTAATGTATGCTGTGCCTGAAACACACGTTTATTATAAGTGCATTTTGTTGATATTAAGACACCAAAGGATATTCTGATGGATGATCCAGGAAGATAATTATGCTCTTTAATGGAAGTTGCTTCTTAGGCCAAATCAAATGTGAAATATCAGTTGACAAAACCAGCATGCAAAAACACATAGTCACAGTTATATAAACTCTACTGGTGTTGGGCATACAACATACAAATAAATAGATTATTAAAAAAAACCCACAGCAAAAATATTACCTATTTTGATTGAATACATCAAATGTTATTTGTAAGTATCATTTACCAGTGAGTAACTGCCCTGAGAACTGAGAGATCAACCAGAACATTTTTGACCAGCCTTGGGTTCAAGTCAACATTCATGGTACTTAAATTAACCAAAGTCTTGTCAAACACAAGCTATACATTGCATTTTTACGGCAAATAATGACATCCAGACAATGATTTTCCACTTACTGCTTTTACACCACAAACAATTTATCAGTATCATCTCAGCAAGAGATTTACTACAGCAGAAGGTGCTTCGTACATCTTATGAAAAGAACAGAAATTAGGCAAGTGTTAAGGCATGCTCAGGAAGGGAAAAGTTGGACAGGCTGGTCTTACCTGGAAGGTTTGTCTCCTAGTGGCGAGGTCGCCATGCTCCAGCTCTTTCGGTACTCTTCTCGTTCAGTTTTCTTTTTCCGAAGTGGAGCAGGTACATAGAAAGTCTGATTACTCTTGTTAGGGAGGTACTGGTTAAAAGGCACAGCTGATTTAGGTTCACCGTGTGAGGTCCGTCTCGCCAACATATCATCTTTTTTCACATCTGGCATCCTTCTGTGTGGCAGGTCAGTTTCCGAGTCACTTCCTCTCCCTAGTGAAGAAGGAGAAAAAAAATCCTCTTCTTCAGCTTTCATTTAGTTTTGTTTTCTTTTTAATTACAAATCAGAGAAGACACTACAAAAAATAACATTTATCACGTAAGCACCAAAAAATTAGTCACTTTTACCTATATTTGTATTTTAAAATCAGTCACTGAAGGTCGTAGCCATAATATCTACAGAGACAGTAAACATTTTTTCCATCAACCCTTATTTTCTACCTCTGAAAATCTCATCTTCAGACACAGCTTCAGCCACAGCCACAGCCACAGCTTTGCATCAAAAAGCTCAGGGTCAGATTAAGCCAGACTTGTCAGTCACAGAGGACAGCTCCAGCAGCTTACCTGACTAAAGCCCAAATGACCCATAGTTGTGCATATGGGTACGTTTGACCCGATTCACACTCTTGAATCTAGACTTACAAGTGCATACCACAAGTTCAAGCAAAAAGGGCCACATGCTGCATATTTACAGAATAGCAGGAATCTGTGGATGTTTCTACATGCATGTACTAACAGCAATTTGAACGCACACAACATCAGCTTTAAACAAAATCTGAGAATAAGCATCAGCTGCTATAAACCAGAAGACTCTGATGGTCTCTCTCCGGTCTCATTGGTTGCCTGGTCAATTGGTCTAGCACACTGCAAAATAGAGTGACCTGATCCTCAGATGGGAAGGTGCAAAGAGAGAGTGAAGGGATCTCAGGATTTAGAGGTGAGATCAGTACAGTGAAGACTGAAGATATGCTGGCAAAGAAAAGAAATGAAGTGAGAGAGAAAAATCAAGAATTACAGAACATAAGATGGGAGATCAACAGAGCTGAGCGACTACTTCATTTTGTTTAAATGAACTAAGCTTCTTGATATTTACAGCCCACTTGAAACACAGAAACTTCAGCAAGACTTTTCCAACTTTAAAACAAAAGTCCCAAGTGACAGGACAAATACCTTACAGAGCATTTGCAGTGGAACTGCCCTCATAGCCATTTTGGAAGCCACACCATAGACACTGACTAGATTCTCTGCACCACCATGAGCCTCTTTAAGTAATTCACAAAGAAGCTGCATCAACAGTTCTCTCCCAGCAGTGTAACATCACCACAGGCCCTGGTTTGAGGAGTGAAATGGAGCATATTGAGCCATTTGTCCCACCAGAATTCAGATCTTCTCCCAGCTTTGGAGTGCTGGATGTGTCTGGCCCTTGGCCCCTTGCATATGCAAGAGCTGTTCCCCTCTTTGGCGTGAGGGTAAGCCACCCAGGTTGTGTCCTCTTGCTAATTCACCATGCTAGTAAATTACTAACTAATTCACTGAGCTACCTAATGAACAACTGAAAACAATGAAGTCATAAAAATCACAAGTAGCTTGTGTATAATTCAAAGTGGGGGAAGGAAAAGAGGTCTAAATATGCCAGGAATGTTATTTGCAAAGAGCTTTCACAGCAAATTGAGTTATTTAATGTTTGCTTGGACAGAGATGAAGAAGAGTAAAAGGGAACTGTAAGAAAAGACAAGACACAATGGAAATGAGGTAGTTAGACCAAAATCCCCATGCACTTTGACAGTAATCTTTTGTTTGAACAATTTTGGTTAAGAGCATGTAACAACTAGCATCATGGTTGTTAAACTGAGTCTATGCCTAAACAAAAAGTGGAGACATGACCACAGAATCACAGGTGTCTGAAAAGGGCTGAGGTTTGAAGAGCTGTAATGTCATTAGACTGAATAGGGCCACAGAGGAGCTAAAAGAAAATTAAAAGTTCCCTTACTGTTATTTGCTATTCTGTTTGCTCTTGACTTTATTCTGGTGTTTATTTTTGTATCATATGAAAAACAGTCCTGAGCCAGTAGACAGAAATGCTAGAATAGATAACCACAGCAGCAGAAGAATTAGAGCAGATTCCCTCATCACTGATGTGCCTACCAGCATCTCCCAGTTGAATACTTCAAAGACAAACAGCTTCTTTAATTATTCATATTTTACTTGTGAAATTATTTTCAGCTCAAATTTGCAAAAAAGCACTTGAAGCCAAAGCGCTGAATGGAAGATGCAGCTGTGCTCTACATTTACAACCCTAACGTTGTTGTTCTGCATTTCCAAGTAGAAGCAGCGGCAGCAGCCAGTTTCCACAACTTGTTACAAGCAGTTATACACCACAAACACGCACAGACCTTTTGTACAAGGATCTGTGCACAAGTGATGGCCAAGCAGAGGATTTTACTCATTCCTGAGCACATTAGCAATGCTACAGGCAGGTCACTCTGGAATTCTACTGTGTTTTAAACAAACTGTTCTGCTTTATCACTGGTTTTATTTGCTTTTTGGCAAGGGATGGGGTCTGCACAGGATACCAGAGCAGTTCCTAAACAGTGGGACTAATCACAGATGGCACTTGTAAAGGCAGTCCACCTAAACTAATCATCACCTTAGGATCACTTAAACAACATCTGTTCAGTTTTTTTTTTCCCAGGAGTGGAAAGAATCATAGTTTTATTTCACTATCATATGATTTGGTTTATAAAGCTCCTATCCGAATGGAGAGAGAACCTTTTCCTCCATCCAGCTTTGCATACACATTCTTTCTATCAAAAACATGCAGTTGAGTGAAACACTGGCCTGCTGGGGCCACAGGAAGAGGTTCAACAGAAGAGAGGTCAGCCAAACTACACCTCACCTGCAACTCTTGGAGGAGGCAGCTGTGAAATTATGGCAGCAGCAAGCAGAAAAAATGGGACATATTAGAAAAAGCTGGCTGGACAAGTCATACGTGTGCACACAGCATCTGCATGCACCCTGGGTCTGGATATTGTTAAAGACTAATTTTAAAGAACAAGCTTTGTATGTCTGCATCTTATTTTGTGTTTGTTATGGACTCAAGAATGTGACAAGATAGTATGTCTTAGCTGTGGCAATCAAACAACCAGAAAACCTTACTAAAATCTGCTAATACAGCAGAAGTTGATAGGAAGCAGGTACAGGACGCAAGGAACTGGCTGCCCACCAGCTTCAAGTATGTAGAGACACTGGACACCCCTTGAGCACCCAAGATGGAGCAACACTTCTTGATTAGGACATGTGAAGTGCTACTATTTGCCAACACCATGCTTTTATCTCATTTGGAAAGGCAAAAAATGTTTTCTAATGCGGATACTGGGCTCTGTTCAGCATCTGAGGGAGCATGAGGCAGTTTCAGGGAATCAGCCCCAGTAGCTGGTTCTGGATGGTCAACCAGCAATAGCCTCAATACCACAGGCCACTCAAAACAGCAGAGCAGATCTTAGCCCTGCTTTCCCCACAGCTCTTTCATAATTCAGCTGTAATATCAGCTCTCCCTGTCAACTTTTCAGTTTTAAGGAGTTCCCCATCACCTGAGGAAATTTCTCATGGGTCCAGTTATGATTAGCACCAGCTTCTTTCAAGCTGCCAAAAGTGGTATGAACATCTGGTTCCTACCAAAAAGTCTTTCTGCCCTTCCTTTTTTTAAATTAAGTAACATTACTAAGGAGAAGTGATTCATGTGTGGAACTTAACTTCATCTGATGCTGAAGTCTGACTGATCCATCCCTTCATAGGGAATGTATCCATGCAGAGGGAGACTCAATCAAGCATCCTTTGGTTCTGAATAGCGCTCACAGCAAGTAACCTAAGTGCATGCCTCACACCTAGTAAATCCTTCCTTATCTGGCACACCGTGTTTACAAGCTTCTGGGAAGAGGCAGAGAAGCAGTACACCTTCTGAAAGCCTAGAGCTGCACGTCTTCATTCAAATGCGTACAAAGATGGCCACAGCTCTGATGCCGGGAGCTATTAATTTATTCAATTTTCTAAATACCATGAAAACAAATACAACATTCGGTAAAATGTTGTACTTCAAACTTCAAAACTCTGTCAAGTATCAGACATTTCCAAGATATTTCTATGTCATTTATCTGCCCAGGTTTACTCAGGCAAACATTTTATTCACTTCAATATTTCTCGTGTTCCTGTGCTTTTACTTCTTTCTTCAGTCTAGTTTATAACTCAAAATAGGTCTGCATAACCTCCTCTTACACTGTAACCCAGAAAAGCACTCTTCCCATCATAAAATTACACTGCAATGATGTAACTAATTTTCCAACACTACGCTATCCTAACTGAGACAGTCTTCAAGTATGTTGCTGGCAAAGCCATCTAAACCTCAGGGAGCACAAATCAGCATTCACAGAGAAGTTCTCTCACCAGATTCAGAGGCTGTGTCCACCTTCTGAATGGCACATTTGCTCCAGAAATGTCCCCTGTATCTCACAACATTATGCATGTGCCACACTGTGACCGATGGTACTTACCATCACTGCTCCCCCTGAGCACTACATCTGGAGACGGTGTCTGCTGCGAGCGGGAGCCAAAGGAGTCCAGGCTGTCAAAGGAATCATCTCTGCCGTGATGAGGCGGGGAGAGGGAATCACTGCGTTCGGAGTCCCAGCAGTCTATGTAGCCGCTGTCACGAATGCTGCGCTTTGGGCTCTCAATATCCTCTGTCTCCTACGTGGAAGTACAGCAGGAACCTCATCATAAAGAAACCACTGATATACCCGTGAGATCCATCACACATCAGACAGCAAAGCATCTTCCCAAATACTAAAAAACTCCTTTCCAAAAAAGGTTTTCCCTGTTTTCTACCCCTTCTCCCCTCCAAAACAAAAATGCAAGCTTGCAATAAACCTTGATTTTAGGCTGAATAAGAGGAAATCCCACATATTAGAATAATATTGCAACTACAATTTTAACATCATGCCTGCATCAGATTTAAGTCTGCTGCTTTCCAAAGAGATTCCCCCCCCACCCACCCCTTGCCCATCTATTGTATCTGGCTGGGACACCAGCAGACAGCATTTGTTGTTGCTGCTTCAACTCGGCAAAATAATGAAGCAGTGTGCCCCAGCCTCCCTCTACCTTGAAGAGAAATTCCTGTTATGAAAGGGGGATGTCTTTCTGAAGCAATCAGCAATGAAAAATATGCAAAATGCTTTTCCTGATGCCTCAGAAGAATTCAGTTGTGCTCTTTACTCTTTGCCAGCTCCTGGCTCTGGGGGATATGAAAGCACTTGCAGCTGACCCACATGTTCAGAGCAGGGAGAACAATGGTTGTCTTTGACAGCCCTGTGATTATAAATTCTTTCCAGTGAAAGCAGCACATACTAAAACACTGAAACTCCAGCAGAAGAAAAGGTCAATAGAAGCCATCCTCACCCTCGCATTATAATAAATCCCTTGTTTTAGAGAGTGTTTTAGCATTAATTACAATTGCACGGCTCGATAAAAAACAAAAATAACTACTTTTATGCAAAGATAAATCTGTTTTTTTCTCCCCAGACCGTAAGTAAAGTCAGAGATGTGAGTGCCATTATCAGACTGACATTTTGTGGTCCAAAGAGGTTGGAATGTGATTCTTTCTCTTTTTTCCTTTCCACTCCCCACCTCCGCAAAAGCATTTGAATATTAATTTCTAATTAAGAAGCACCCCCTGCTTACCCGTAGCTGGAGCACAATGGCTATGCCAAGCACAGTACTCGCTGTCCTTGACCGCTAAGGTTTTACCCATTTCTACTATCGCCAATGAGATGAGTTGGGAATATCACAGTACCCTACTACAGTGGGCTACCTCCACAAGCAAACAGGTGTGCTGTAGAAGTGACAGAGGGAGGAGAGCCCTGCAGTAACACACCAAAGCTACAGTGCTAGGAAAGAGGGAGGCTTAAAGCGAGACAGAGAGATCAGACCCAATGTCCTGCAGACTTTCAAGAAAGAAGGCTTAATTAGTGCTACTCACTATTATGGTGCCAAAATACCACATTGAGGGCAGCGGCAAAGGTCCCCTAAGGCCAAGCTGAGCTGCGGTAATGTCAGGAAGTAACCTCACTGCAAATTGAAGTGCAAGTATTTTCTAAAAACAAATAAAATTCATCTAACAAAGTAGTAATTGGATCCTATGTAATTTCCTTTCCCAGTTCTGCATACCGAACTAAAATGCTGATAGAAACACTAGAGAACAAAGATCTGTCTCCCTGAAATCTGTATGAGTTACACACATCCAAGAACAAATCCAAAAATCCTATCAAAATCCCGTTTGTGACATGATCCAAAAATCTTTCTAAAAATCCAAATTCCCTAAATCCCCTCACCCCTTTATACCAGTCAGCTATTGTCAATCCTCAGACACACTTTCATTTTCCTAAATTAGTGTATTTGAGTGACACAGAACTGCTCAGCAGCTACAGAACTTCAACTCAGGAAAAAAGCCCCATCCTGCATTTGCTATCTCCCAGAGTTTGAAAGCAGTCCAACTGTGAACTAATGAGTTCTGCAGACTCCCCTTTCAAAGGCCCGCTGATGTTGATTTTGCATGCCGCACACCAGGAATTAGGCAGCAGGCACCAGGATAGGCTCCTGGACTCCTGTAGACACGTTCTTCACAGCCTTCCCTTTGGCAAAGCCCAACGCTGTCTCACAGATGGGCACTTGTCCTGCACTGAGCAAACGTCATCTTCCAAATGTTATCAAGGGGAAAAAGAAAGTGGTTATCTGCAGGGCTGATAACACCGTAACACGACGCACAACAGCACGTTAGTCTTTCCTATTACCTAATTAAAAACACAGCATGTTACTAAGCGGTAGCAAAAGTGGGATTGCCAAATATAAGATGCATTTCCTCAGGAAGTTCCACCCACTAAATATGGGTGGAAGCCATGGGTGTTTTGTCACTTGGAATTTACAGCTTAGAAGTAAAGAAGAATGTGTATCCAAACAGTTAATGAAATTAAAAACAGAGTAGCATGAATAAAATTAGAAATGAATAGCCATTTCAGCATAACTAGAAAAAGATGAGTCTGAGACAACTTACATCTGAGATGTCTTTCGATTTGCTTATTAAAAAAAGGAGAGGATTTATAACAAAAAAACTAAACCAGGATGTATTTATGGTTGATTTAATTATTAAGTTCAGTGAAAAAAAATACTAGTAAAGAATGCAGTAAAGTGTCTTTTCATCACTTGAGCTCAGCTATAAAGAACATGAGAGTTCCACACCATGATCAAGATGTTCTGTTTTACAACCAAATGTTCTTCAAATTCAGTAACAGACAAGCCCACAATTGCCAGTGGGAAACACTGCAGGGGCACAGGAGGTGATCTTAACAGAAGATGCTAACAACCCTCATAACAGTACCACCTAAACAAGACTTTTCAGGATTGCAAAGTACTCCGTTTTTACATTAAAGGAATATATAGCTTTTAGCTTTTATGAGATCTCTGCTCCCAGCTCCAACATCTGCAATGTATCAAGCCCCAGTCTCTTGCTTTTGTTGTTGACCTGCAGCACTCTGCACTGCCCAGCCAGGTGCTCCGCAACCATCACCTCCCCAGAGAACGCTGTCTTTCGGCACCAGCCTACGTCATCCCACAGCAGGGCTCAAGAAGGCACATCCAAAATGCCCTGATGACTAGTTTGATAGGTAAACATTAGCTGGAAAAAGAAGAACCTCATGCTTTGAGATTAAACATTAAAACATAAACCATGATACCATGTGGCACTAGTATTATAACAACCTGCACTTTGACAATTTTTCTGCATTAGCTCTCTTCACCTTTCGGACTCTTTGGGAGTGGGGACTGCTCTTTTCCTGCATCTTCTGTTTGGAAACAAGTATTAACTTCATTTTTTTATTGCTTGGTCTCAGACATATCACTCATGAATGGCAAGGTCCTGAGTGATTAGCACAGGTCATTCCAACTGAAGACCAAAACAAACTTCTACAGAGAGGCAGGATGTTCTCTTTTCCTCTCCGTTTCCATCTGCTTCTTCACAGGAACTCAGGTCACAAACAGGGATTTTACCCATCTAGTCAAGGCTCTCTGATCACATTAAAGTGTAGGAATTGCTATTAGTCAGGTAAGCTTTTCTTCCTTTCCAGTGGCAATTCAGTGCTGGCCCTCAGATCCCAGAATGAAGAGCTGCAGCTGCTGCAGATGCTGTGGCAGAGAGCTCAAGGAGAGTAAAGAGCAAAGAGTCTCCCATGGTCCCCAAACCCCACTGCTTGTGGTGACTTGGCCATTACACAAGATGGGGAGTGAGTAGCAAGCACAAAGCTCTCTGTGGGCTGGAAAAGACACCTGCATGGCCTGTCATGAGCGGTATGTGGCCAACACATGCAATGCTAGCACTGGGTGCTGCCATCTTTTTACATGCCTGCTCCTTGTCTCTTCCATTCCCAGTAAATGCATGCTTGGATACCAACACTAATCATTACTGAGGTTAAGTGTCTCAGGTCCACGGCATGCTGGAGCATTCAAACAAAAGTCCCCAAACCACCTTAGAGCAATCACAACTTTTCCTTCCCAATAGAGCTCAGCTCATCATAAACCACCAAATAAGATTTCAGCCAGAATTCAGAGTTTGGCAAAACACAGATGCATTCTAACTATGCCCTTGGTGAAACATAATCTCCTCCTCCTACCCTTCAGCTTTATTTAGATACTTTGGTTTGATGTGTTATGTTGCAACTTAAAAACAAAAGAGCTGCCCACTAAACTTAACGTTTTAAAGAAGAAAACTCTCTGCTCCTGTGAGTCCCACCATTTACTATCAAGTCTCAGCTCTTCTAGATGATACTGTGTCACAAATGAAAATAATTCAAACCAAAACATATACAAATGAAGATGACAGGGCCACATGCCAATTCTAAAGCCCTGTTTGGCATCACACACTGTATGACAAAGCTAGCAGCCAAAGAAAGCAAGCTGTGTTTATGACTTGGTAGAAGCAGAAACATTTTCAAAGGCGGTAGATGTTTACTAAGATGTTCACTCCACCCTCCCCCTTCTCTTATATTTAGCAACAAACAGGTCATTTATGGGAGTAATAATTCAAATGAAATTTTGATTCCCAAAACATAACAAAAAGATACCTTTCTCATTTGTGCCAGCAAACCTTCAAACTCCTTCAGGTTCAGGGTTGATCCGCTATACGATGTGCAGCTGTTTGCCGCTTTCCCTAGCCAATAAATGGTGACTAATACCTGCAGAAGTTAATAAGAATTAATTGAAGCCATTTACGCAGTCACTTAGCTAAATTTACGAAAGTACCTCTTGTTTATTCTAAACTGCACAGCAGCACAAGATTTTGTTATAAATAAGAACTGAAGGGGAAGTATCTGTCAGTAGTTAAACATAAATACATTGGGCAACTATGAACATTTAAACAGTCCTGCAGAATATGTAACTTAACACATAATCTTCCTGGTATTTCTATAAAAAATGAAACTGTCATGTCTGCCTGGAAAATAAATAGCAAAAATAAAGCTGAAGAGAAACACTAGGCAAGATATTTGAAACTGTCAAGAAGACACACTTATAAATACATCTGTTTGTAACTCCAATAGGAAAAGAAAATCCCTGAAGAGTAGTAATACTAGTGGTCATTAATTAAAACCATTAAGGCTAATGGAATAAATAAAACGTCTGAAATATGTGCCTGCCTATTTCAAGGACAGAGAAGGTAGTTCAATTTTTAATCATCTTAATGTAATTAACTACATGACACGGGAACATTTACTTCCAGGCTTCTGCTAGCTTAAGAAATGCTTAGCCCTAGACTAATCAAATGCCACGAGCATCTGGTTGTTTCTATGCAACTAAAGTGGAGAGAGTTAATGGTTTCATTCAAGCTCTGACTTGACATCTCTCCCTAAAAGTCACTTCAAAACTAGGGGGGAAAAAAAAGCCAATAATTGCTCCTGCAAATGTTTATATACCCTCTCGCTCCTTTAGGTAGCAAAGAAATCTAATCTGACACTGTGAGGGCTACACTTGTTTTAGGAAAGAGGAAATTAAGATGCTCAGGATGGTCAAATTCCAACCTCTCCAAAAATACTGATATATATATCATGCAGAGTAAGCAAACAGTCCTTCTCTGCACACACATATGTCTTCACTTTAAGCAATGTCTTTAATGGTACCTGTGCAGCAGCAGCAATTTAGACTGAAAACTGATCATCAAAGGCAATTCAGCTCAGTGTTTTGCACTGCTTAAAAATGCCAAACCATCACCTCAGAACGTAGGGTTTTTTTCTCAGTTCACTATTCCTGCATATTCCGTGACATTTAAAAATATTTAACTGCAGAACAAACAGGAAATATTTTTATGTGGAAAAGATGTGCAACCAATAATAAATAATAGTTGTCATTAACTGTCTCAAAAAAAAGTTAAGCTGAAATATAGTATTCTGCATTTTGATGGGACAAGGTCATATAAATCATACTATATAGTGAACTAAAGAAACTAGGACTGGAAGAAATCCCAATGGGGTGCTGGGGACAGACATCTCTGTCAGACTCTTCTTCTCTAAAACACGCACATACTTTTAGCACTTCCTCCTCAGTCCCATATGCTAGACTTCTGATTAGGTTTTGCTCATTAACTTTCTCTAACATCCCCATTTCTTATTTAAGTGTGATGTCGAAAATCCCACATAGCACTCCAGCTGAGGTTCTGCCAGAAAAGAGTACAGCATGTGTCATACAGATCCCCTGTTTAAAAAGGCAACTGTGGGGCATAATGTAAATAATGTACATGCCATGAAATAACTGAGTAAGTTTTAATAAAGTTCAAATTTTTTTCCCTTGTTTTAAAAATTACATCCAAATTGCTACTACTGTGCTGAAGGAAAGCAGGTGGTTTTGTCAATACAGACTTTTTTTTCTTTTAAAAAACCTTTATCTGAACTGTTTTCCTTCAACCAGCACAACTGAACAAATTTATATAAAGAATTCTTACAGTGCATGTTCTCAAGTTAAGCAAAAACACTTGGAAATATAGTACTCCTAGCAACCAGGAAGCTGTCCAATTCATTTCGCCATTCAGTTTTCCGATGAAGGTCGTGGCATTTTTATTTATTTCTGCTACCATTTGATCACTCTTGCTTCTTCCTTTCTTTATCCATTTTTTTTTCCAAATAATGTCACATTTGCAAGAAATTCGACTGGCTGCCAGCTGAGACTACAGGATCATGCACCTGGAAAGCATATATTGCCTACAAGTACATTGCAGAGAAGACTTCTGAAACTTCACCTTTAAAACTATACATCTGTTAAAAAATATTCAGCCAGTGCCCACAAGGGTGCTAAAATACCAAAGCTGAACTCCTCCTCTACAACTCTGTGTGCTGGATGCGTAAGATATTACTGTAACGGTGATGGGAAAGACAGGATTAAATAATTTGCAGGGGACAGGGTGTTGGTAGTATTGGTGGTTTTTATTATTTTTTACCTGCAGTCATGATTACTGGCTTACAAAGTTATTATGAAACAGTCTTGGCATTTCCTAACAGTATACAGGATTTTGAGCCAAATATAAAATTTACATTATAGCGGCTTACAGCTGACTAAAGGCAGACAGCTTGCTAGGCTTTAGGAGAGTATCTCTGAGGCCAGCAAAGTTTAGCCATTTTCTTTTCCACTTAACAATTGCAGGATCCATTACCATTGCCATTAGTTTAAATTAAGAAGAAATTGAAGTTAAATGGAATTAGCCTTTCTGGGGAAACACTAATTTATTTGGAAAAACAAGAAAGCTAGCAAATCTGACAGTAAAAACTTGCATCCAGATCTAATGAACATTTTGCTTCATTTTAAATGCTTTTTGCATTCTCTATGCCTATATATTCATGAAAGGCTACAAAAGCGTAGATTCATGGGCGAGTCAGACTGTTCCCAATGAAAACCACAACAGATAGCAGATATTACATTATTCATCCCTTATCTAAGAAGGCGAAAACATCCTCCATTTAATTTCTGCTGAGAGGCTGCTTTGCCATAGCAGTTCTACCTAAATTTCTAGCAGAACCTGGTTAGGTTGGTGTTCAGAGGAAGTTTTCAGCAATACTCATTTGTACTCAGTTTTTACTAACATAATTCTTGCTCAGGACAAATACAGGATTAACCAGATTAAAAAAAGTACTTCAAGTGATGTACTTACATTTTTCAGCTTCCGACTATAGTTGGTGTTTCTGGTTGTGGACACACATAAGGGAAAAAAAAAAAAAAGAGGAAAAAAAAATCAGAAAGCACACTTTACAAAGCATGTATGCAGCAGATCACATTTTCCCTAACAAAAGCCTGCAGAATGCTTCTGCAGGCTGGAAACACATGAAAGCTAAGAAGATGTGGTTCACACATTCATTTATCCATAATATGGGAGTATTTAGTCAATCACTAAATTAGAATTCTGGAAGTACAAAAAACAAATGTGTTTATACTGGTCCCACAGTAAAGCAGGACAGTGCCAAAAATATTTCCTTTAAAGAGAGTTGCTGATTCTTTCAAAAATGACGACCAAAGTCCTCACTGCTAAAATGCATTCTGCAGTAATCCAACAGTTGGATTCTGCTCTGTGATAAACCACGCAACCCATACAGATTCTGGAATCAACTGAACAGGCATTGGAGACTGAGGAAATCATCATCAAACTTTTAAGGAAATGGAGCAGGTGCTTCTGTGGAAACAAGCATCACAAAGAACAAAGTAGATAGGTGAAGCAACAAAGATCTTGCCGCTTACAACAGAACCTGCTGTGGAAAACAGTTATTTTTTAATGTATACTTGAGCGCTCAGACTGAACGTTGGCATCCTTCCCTAATTTTTTGCCAATGCTCATCGAAAAGGGTGGAAGTTTTATATTACAAACAAAGCACAAAGTTTGCACAAACACAAACAACTTTTCTAAAATCCAGGAAAGAAACCATTTTAAAAGAATGAAGGAAATGTGTATCACATTTAGGTGCTGAAAAATAAATAAGACTACTTCAGATTTAGTACAGATTGCCTCCTGATTATTTATAATGGAACTACCTTCTACTATAACAGTAAGTCCACTCAGCATTAAAGGCTACCTGATAAAAACAAAAATAAATGCACTTAAACCTGTGAGAACAACGAAAGTCTAAATATAGGCAATACTAAACCTAAGTAATTTTAGTAATATCTTTATTAAGCCAAAAATTTTATCCACCAATACCCACATACTATAAAAATTAAAACAGTCCTTTTTCCCCCCCCTTAATTAAAATAGCAGTGGAAAAGAGTCTTGTTTAACAAGTCAAGAAGAAATTCTTTACAGCCCTAGCTCATCACTTTTGTAAGCTGAATGTTCCAAAAAAACCAGACCTAATGAATACTTCAATTAATATCTATATGAAAAAAACTGGTTAAATACGTCATTATCTTAATCACGTGTAGTAAAGTCACATTCATCCTTTACCACAGAACAAATACCATTTTTACCATTTTAAGTAAAATAACTCAAAAGTCTTCAAAGAGGAAGGAAAAAAATCACCTTTATGCTTTATAACAAGCTAGCAGAAAGACAGTCTTGAACATAGTTCTCTACAACAGTCATAGACTTGGCTTGCATGAACTTGGACACTGCTAGGAAAACATTTGTCTCATTTCCACAGCCGCTTTCTCTGAATAGTTGATGGGGGGGGGGGGGGGGAAATTATGCCAGTGAGACAGTGATCTAGCATCAGATTTAGCGGAGGGCCAAGCCAGCTGTGCAGAGTTTCTTACTCCTGGTTTAACTTGCTCACGTATTGGACAACTCTCCTTGGAGCTCCGTGCTAGTCCCAGCTTCTTTACCTACCTCCTCCGAGGTGCTCCACCATCCTCAACCCCAAAAGATCAAGCTTCTGTTCAGAAAGACCCCTTCTCTCTAGTTTTATATGGAGATTACGATTGTTTTGTGACTGTCTCCAGCAACTCATTGTCATGGTTTTACAAGACGTCATAAAGAACCTCTTTTATTGCAATAGTACCATATTTAAAAGAAATACGTTATATAGTTGCCTCTCATTGGTATGTACAGGTGAGAAAAACCTCATTAGAGCCAGAAACTTGGAAAGGCACAAAAAGTGGGAGACTTCCTTAAAACAAGGAAAATGGCCAATTCGATTTTCAGAACCTTTGAATTTTCCAAGACAGTGCTTGAATGCCATGAAAACCTACCTAGCTTTCACTGCCAGAAAGGTTGGGGGGGTGGGGGGGTGGGGGCGAGAAAGAATGCTGCTAAAATTTAGTAAATGGTTTCCATATACTTTTATAAAATGGTAACGTCTGACCAGGATTTCACTACTGATCTTTTTGGCCAAATGAAAGGTGGCCCTTCAATCGACTCAGCAGTATTTGCTTGTCTGTATAGCAAGACCTTTTTAATACTACACATGATAAACCCAAACATTTCAGGAAAACTTCTAAATAACACGAACTACAAAATTTGTTACTTTTATGAAAATGTGGTGTGCTCTTCCTTTTTAGGGGCAGGGAACTTGATTTCCATGAATATAAATGAGGAAAAAAGTACAGTTTGACTGCTTCTGCACTTCTAGTTTGTGATGAGAAAGTCTTCCCTGGAAGGGAGAAGAGTTCCTATTTAAGGCCTTAATCTATGACTATGTGGACTTTAATTCAAGTTAATTAAAAGGGGTTTTCAAAAAAATCACTTCACCCCTCCAAAAACATCAATTAGTTATTAGGATGGAGAACCTCTCAAAACATGTGCATTAATTTGTGTGGTAGTAGGTAGGTGGCTTTGGTGAAAAAGTATCTAAAGTGTGCCACTTCCAGTCCACACAGTTGACAGACATCCTCAGTCCAAATATCATGTCCCAACCTACAGTTCTTGTTAGAAAGCAAACAGACCGTGCTCGTGCCTGCAGCTTGTAGAGTCTGAGAGGCCTATAAACGTCCTATAATGCATCTTCAAAACAGTTTAATTTGAAATAACAGAGCTGAGATTCTATTTCCCGAGCCTACATAGTTCATTAGTTGGACAGACAAAAAAGAATGCCATCAATTTAGACTCGGGAAAACTCCTAAGTCACACAGAATCTCGTTGCTTAACTAAACCAGTATTTTAAAAGAGCTGTGGTCGGTCTCTCTGGGGAAAATAACAGCCTTTAGAGAAAGCGTGTTGAAGAGAACAATGTACTCTTCCCAGCACTGAAGGTTTCCCAAACCTCAGCTTCCTATTTGCTTTATACAGATGACAATTCTATACCCTCTTTGCTCATCCTTAAATATTTACTATTGCATCGCATGCATTTGAGGTTGTAACATGCTAATCACAAACTACTGTTGTACTTACTTGATGGTTACTCTGTTTGATGTGTCTTGCAGATCACCAGGATCAAAAAGCTGTGATTCTTTAAGTCCCAGCTCTTTGCAGCCTCTTAAGAATAAAATGATATTATCCTGAAACGAGAAAAAAGACCAAACAAAAAAAAGGTATTACTACTCCTTCATTGAAAAAAATAGTCCTACTGAACCAATTTCTCCCTAACTCAGTAACAGTTTGCGAACAGTCATACAGTAGCTAAATGAAGAACCAGACATTTCCAGTCACATAATTTAATAAGTACATATATGCCTTGAAAACCAGATAAATACGAAACAAAACTTTTTTTTTTTAGTACATAACTGCAAAAACCTTATTGACTTTTCTCTTTCCAAATCCAGACGCTGGCAACTTCTTTAACTGAAAAAGCCCTGCTAACTTACCCACCTACTGCTGTGGGCTGCCAGCACAGCTACAGCATGATATGGGGCAGGAAAGAAAACGCTGGATTGCTGAAGCGAGCAAGAAGAGCAGATACCAATCAGCCCACCATCATTTCAGAAAGCAGTTTGTTCAGAAAACATTTTTCACGTTAATGCAACTGGTCTCTTCTGTCTTTACTCCTAATCAGCCAGAAGGCACTGGGAAAATAAGGAGGTGCCTTCTTCCCAAATAAAATGCTTGAAGCTACACTTTACCAGTAACCACTGTCTGTAAGAAGAAACAATACCAACTTTCTTACACTTTTTATGGAGGATTTACACTTTTCAGACTGTAAAAAATAAAAATCAATAATTAAGAGGGATTAAGCACAAACTGATATAAGGCTCTTTCAAACCAAATATGAGTGATGACACATGGGTTTGTACTGAGGGGATTAAATGTGTATGTATGCATATGTATTTAATATATGTTTGATACTTACACATAGGCACGTACACAGTCCCCCTTTTACAGAACCAGTGACTCTTTCTTATGCTGATAAATCTTGAAAGTCGGTAGAGAACTAGTTTTTAGATACACATTGCCAGATCAGCAACGCCAATGGTAGATGTGTGGACAAGTAAGGATATAAGCCACAGCTTGAAATTCTCTGAGGCCTCTCACCTCAAATCTTCAACTGGAGGTGAGCTGCCACGTGAAGAGTAAGGGAGGCGCAGAGTCAAGTGTGTGACATAGACCTGCATTTTTGTAGAAACTGGGAAGCACAGGAGCCGGGACAGCGTTCACCTCCTGCCCACCCCATGTGGGGCAGGATTCACGGCCGGGCTCTCCCCACATCTGCTCCCAGGCCTTTGTTTGGGCGGCACGGCCACGGCTCGGCGAGGGCAGCCCTGTTTATTCTGCTGGGGCGCAGCTATTAGCATGCTAATGGCTGCGGCTCTCTGCATGTCAACGCTCTCGCACACAAAGCTCGCTGTCACCAGCCACGCCGCAAAAAAATACGGACATTTAGAAGAGCCCAAATCTCCCTTTCTTCCCTGACTGAAACTTAACAGCCCTGGAGGAGAGCCAGGGGGAAAGGAACAGCAGTCTCGAGAGCAGAGAGCCCATAACCCAGAGAGACAGCATCATTCACGACATGAAAAGATGCTTGTAAAATTCTCTGTCTGACTTACTGTTTGCATTATCATTTTCCCAACTGCATCATGAATAACTCTTGTGTTTAGTCTTCGACGGAGGACAGGCCTGGTCACTTCCAAACAGTGGGTGGAGCAATGTGTAAATTGAATAAAAATGCAGAAGTATTTAAAAAAAGTAGTTCCTAACAATATTTCCTAACAAAAGTATACAGGACATACAAGACGCAGTAACCTAATAGGTTTAGAAAACAATTAAAGGAGAGGGAACTTTGAGGATAACTAACTGCACCCATCTTTATGCCAAAAGTTCACATCCAAGTTATGATAAACAGTAACAAAAGTATCAGCAATTTGGCAGACATGTCATTTGGAAACTCAATTCTTCTGTTGACGAACAAATGTCTACTTCTCAAAAAATAAAGTGTCACAACCCTATTCCTGTTTTTGCATATGCTTTTATTTTGATGGTCATCATAAAAACAATGTTTGCCAACAGTCACAATTACCCAAATATCTCAGTATCTTGTATGGGCACGAGTAACCACACATGCCAACAAGATGCAATCAGTGAGCACTGAAAGAAGCTTTTGCTTTTGCTAACAGCCTCATAGCTTTTATTTCCCAATGGTCTTAAATATGGCAATTTGTTTAAAAGGATTAAAAAACCCCAAACAACAAACATATTGTTTTCACATGACAGATATTCATGTAAACCTGCCTAGACTGCCTATCCCTAAGCCAAAATGTATCTCATACTACTGCAAAACTAAACTTTTCCTGGTTTGCCCCAGTACATTTGAAATTCATATTTGTTAGTTCTATGAAGACACTGAAGAACACCACTTCTAAGCCGCTAAAAGGAGAAAGGAGTCTTATCTTCAAGACCCAACTCCCAGCAAAGCTTTCTCTCAAGATTACTACACCTTGCATTGGCCAAATCCTGGTTTCTTCAGTTCTCAGAAAACATTGCTTACATGTTTTGAGAGAAATTATAGTTCTGTATCTGTTCACTGTAACTACTTATTTTTTGTAGTCACCTAAAGTGCCACTTCTTTGTTGTTGTTGAAGTAACTAAAAAAAGAAAAAAGAGTTTACAAGCAGCAATGTGTATAAAACATCTTTACTTTAAACAAGGGAGTGAAAACACACACCTAACGTACATGTCCAGCTCCTTACAACTTGGTAGAGTTAAATAGGCCACACAAGTGGGTCATGCTGCAATGGCAAGGATCACAGTGCAGCCAGCTGCTATGCCTCGGTTAACAGGGCACTTTTACAGTGGTCTCAAAAGACACAAGACCAGAATTCAGTTTGTCCGGCAATCCCTGCAAGGCACTAACACACAGCTTCCTCAACACATTAAATGAAGGTGATAGTGCCTTTCTCAGAGCAGTTACTCGCTGCAGTCGCAGAGCTGAAGTAGACGGAGAATGGGACACTTGGTGAGCACATCACTACCTACAGCCCCAGAGGGCCTGCAACTGCCTCCTGCTGGCTCCTATTGGGTTTGGTCTGCATCACTATGCAATCAAAAATCTTCTTCTGGCTTTTGTCCTTCATACACCCAGAGAAAGAGAGAGAGCTTACAGGTTGCAGCCTAAATTTCTTTTGCAAATTTTATCTATTTTTAAATTGACACAATTTTGTATCTATAAATATACAGGTATTTATAAATCTCTTACCTAGTAATCTATAATCTATAGCTATCTGTAAAATTTTATCCACGCTTTGTCTATAAAATGACATAGGCTCTACACAGGCTGCTTACAGAAGACAAAGCTCCGGTGTGGTGACAGACAGAGGACACAAGGACAGGATGCACTGATAGGTTAAACCCCAACCTTTGTCTGCTTGCCTAAGCAGAGCCCTGACGGTTACTATTAGATCAGCGCTATAAGCAATGTAATTTACATCTAAGTATTAGAAATGCAAAAGTTATTAATGTAAATGGTTTTTTTGTAAAACCTATACTGAATTTCACCACAGAAAAATCTGCCGACACAGAAACCACTACAAACGTTTGGGCAAAGGCAGCCATGAACCAGCAAGAAGGGCCAGGGAGGAGAAGGGATGGACAAACAGGGGTGCAGGGCACTGACTCCCCAAGAACTGAGTCAGAAAGATGCATGGGAAGGAAGGGACTGTAAAGCTGCTTCTGCTCTCGCACTGCATTTCAACACCATTACAGTATCATCCTTTCTGGTGTGTAACCTGACAGACCCACCTCTACAAAATCACTTTGCCAGGACAACCACCTGCAGATAATGCAGAGAGAACAGGAGGCAGAGGGCTTACATCCCCATAAAGGTGGAGGGAGGAAGGAAGAAATAATATCCTGATAACTTATAATACTATTTTTTTCTTGTTTTAAAAGACAGATAACCTGTGCATTATAAATACACAAAAAAGTTCACTCTATAACATTAAGCAGTTTTCCTCACACATGAAGTGGAGCAAAAATCCTGACCTCTGTAAAAAAAAACCACAAACCAAACGGCCAGAAATTGGCAGTTGTGCAGGAGACACCCTGGAAAGCCACCGTAAATTCACACAGTAGCACTGCCAACACACAAGATAGTTCAAGCTAGCGAGAATCAAATATTCACAGCAGGCAAAATCTCTCCATAGGATCTGCTGATCAGATGCAATGGCAAACAGCTTGAATTTGGCCCAGTTCCATTCCTTTAATCTGCCACAATACTACACAAAATATTCTCACTGCATCCACGCTGCAAATGAGACCTGCAGCTTATCACTGTGGGCCATCATTTGTCAGATGTGCTGCTGCGTGGCCTGGATGAGATACACAGATAAACTTGGGGAAAACAAAAGCAAGCCAAGCTGTATGTCTGCAAAGAACGCTGAATAAAATGCCAAGTGCATGACACTACCGCAAGCTGGAGATATTATTAGCTGCCAGTAGCACTGTGCTGTTTTGCAGGACAGCTGCAGACAAACAGGTGGCCTTTTTCATTTCTGGAATACTGAAATTTTCCCTGTTCCAGAATAAACTGGAAGATTTATATACATACATACATACATATATGTGTGTGTG